CTCTCCCTTTCCCTCCCAAATCCTCTCAGAAATAAATAAAAATATTTTTAAAAATAAGAAGAGATATAAATACCAATTGAAGAATAATTACAAGGAATAAACAAAATCCCTTAATTGAAACAGTTTCAACAAAAACAAAAAGAGAAGATCCAGATATAATTGGACTCAAGAAACCCACACTGACACCAAATAGTAAAATCAATGGTCATGTGATATCACAGAAATGTTCTCATTTATGATTAAATGCTGGGATGTGTTATGACAATAATTCTGAAGTTGGCATCTATCCATAGGGAAAGGAGAGCAGCTCCTAACTCTACTGAGTATCAGCGCCTACAGATGGGAGACCAGAAGCTCAGGCGGTGACCAGGTAACTCCTGGGCAAGGGGAGGATAAGATGCCAACTACAGTGTGTCGGGCCTGAGAATGGAGAGAGAGAAGCAGGGGGTGTGGGATGACTGGGCAGAACCAACAAAGAGAAAGAGAGAGGGGGGAGGGGAACAAGTCAAATGGGAGAAGCACAGGCAGAAACAAGGAGTCCGTCAATGGGTGTGTATTATTGTTTATTTCTGTATCTTATGATCTTTTGAGCCATTAAACAGATTGGAAGCCAAGGAGACACAGGGCCACCCATGGCCTGCCCATTCTCAGAGACAGCAAAGAATTTCAGATGCAAACCAATCCATCCTGAGCCCATATTCCCAGCCTCCCCACCTGCCGCAAATCACCCAGGACCTGGGACCAGAAAAATAGAGACCACGCCCACAAGGCCCATCCCCCAGACTGACACACACCAGCTGGCCCTGAACTGCTCACCCTGCCCTGCCTTGCGTTTCCCATGGGACCCCAATCAAGGCCTTCACTAGGCGGCCCTGCACCTGCATCTGCTTCCTGAGGAAATCTGGGGCTTTCTCGGGCAGCGCGGCCCCTCCTCTCAGGAGATGAAAAGAGTAAAAGTCTTCTCTCCATGGCATTGACTCCCCTTGTCCTCACTCAGTCACTTCCACACACTGAAACCCCAGGGGCACATTGAGGCAGGTGAGTCAAGAGCTTCCAGGGAGAAGGTGACATTGATGCCCCTGGACGGTCCCTGTAGCCTGGTGTCCACACCTCAGTCCCATCCTGAGAGGAAGGAGGGTCCATCAGGAGCTCTGCCTCCTGCTCCGGGGGCCTCCACACCTGCGGGGCCCACACAGGTGTCAGCTCAGAGACTCGGCCTCTTTGGCTCCAACTCCCGGCAGACAGAGCCAGACAGCTCGGCCCCACCTGCACCTCAGGGCCAATCCCTGACCTTCCCCGGGGGAGACAGGCCTTCTCACCTGGTGTAGTAGAGCCAGGTGAGGACGTAGGTGAGGAGGAAGCCAGCCCCCATGAGGGCCCCTCTGATCAGGGTGAGGACCAGGGGCCAGGAGCCCTGCTGCTCCTCAGTCACACATCTGCTGGAGTGCGGTCTGCCTGCGGACGTGGGAGACAGGTGACGTGTTGTCCAGATGTCAGTCCACCCACAGCCCAACACCTGACCAGGCGGCTGCCCACACCTGTCCTGCACCTCACTCTGCATAGAGAGGCTGAAGGAGATGCACTGGGAGCACAGCGGGTGCTGAGCCCAGCAGGTGAACTCCCCTCTGCCTCCAGCCCCACATGGGGCAGCTCCAGGAGCCCTGGTGCTAAGGGCTGGAGGGGCTCAGGGCTTGTTCCTCCAGCACCAGCTCAGGTGACACCACCCACTCCCAGGACTCAGTCTCTCCTGTTCCCACCTCATCCCAGAACCAGCTGTGGGTTCTGTTCAGGCACGAGACGCAGGCCCTGTCTTAGCAATCCTCCCTGTCCCAACGAAGCCCCCACCCCCATCCCCACCTTCTCTCTGACCCACTCCTTTCTCCATGGCCTCTGCCCCAAGCAAGCCCTGACCTGGCAGCAGC